GAACTCCACAAATAATTTCAAAATGGAACCCTTTCTGCTCTGACAAGTGCTGGAGAAATTGTTGTCAGAATATTGATAACCACACCACACCCATGTTCTGTGGTCATGTCCTTTAAGTAACTATTGGAAATCTGTATTTAATGCCCTTGAGGAAATCTTTCATTATGAACTTTCTGAAGATCCCACAGTTGCTCTGCTAGGTGTATGTCCTGAGGGCTTCAATGGCTGATCAAAAATCAACTTATTACAAATCCTACTTGCTGCAGCTTTGAAGTGCATCACAAGCAGATGGCAAAATTCTGAACCTCCATCATATAATGCTTAAATTAAAAAAGTGTGGGTATTGTATCAAATGGAACATTAACATATGCATTACGACTTTAAAAAACAATTGTCCAAAAGAAATGGTCTCCTGTCATCCCTCTAATTAAAAAATGAGCCATACTGAACTCTGCAAACTATTGGAAAATAAGGCCCCTTCCTTCTTCCTTTTTTATAATTATTATTATAGTTGTTGTTTTCTAAAAAAAAAATCTCTTTTATATGTCCTTAGAATGTTTTTTTGTTTTGTACATGTATTTACAACCATTTCGGTAGATAGAAATTAATGGTCAAACATGTAAAAAAAACTGTTACACTATATTGTACTTCATGCTATGTTGTTTTCTCTAATAAAATTAAGTTAAAAAACTATTATATTTCATATTTAAATTACCTTTTTCACAGGAGTGCTGTGCCAGGGCTCCACTGGATGTTCTGAAAATTCATTAATCAGCATTAATATTAATAAAGTTGTAAGTTTGATTGTATGACTGATTATTGTTATGTTTATCACCTTTCAATGAGGAGAAACTCGCAGGAGATTTGCCATGTCTTCTGTCTCTGAGCTCCTCCATCATTATAACTCACACTGGACATACTATAATGATAACAGCACTGACTTTACATCACACCTGAGTGAATATAATCAATAATCAACACGAGCGCGTCATAATAAAACCAACATTACTGACTTCTGCTTGGTTGTTTTTAAAAACACACAGTTTAAATATAAACAAAGACCGTCGTAATTAAAAACACACAAATGTGAGACCTCCAAACGTTCATTTAAATCAAGATTAACTTATAAAAACGCGTAAAATGTGGCGTGTTTAATAGAGAGAGAAACGCTGAAGCGGTTTGATTATTTCTGAATTCTCAAACTGCCTGTTGTGATCCGCGCTATAGGAGGTCGCCCGACGCGATGCCTGATCGAAATCATTCCTTCAATAACCTCTCCACACATCCCACCAACTGAAATTGCATACAGTATTTTATCAATAAACACACGTCGTGCTTGTTAAAAATGCCACCTCTATATTTCACGCATATGTTGATTTATGAAGTGTGTGGGAGACGCGGCGCAGGCGCAGACGGCGTTGTTTCTGTGTGCGCGAAGGGCGCTGTCAGGACCCGTAGCAGACAGTGAAGGTGTGCAGAGCAGCGGTGAAACTCTCGCTTCAGTTTTTCAGATTTTCTTCTCTTCATAGTTTGAGGAATAATGATCGCAGGTCCACAGAAACAGCAGCTGTACTGAGATCAGACCGCCCGGGTGAGTGTGCATCTGCAGCGGCCGCCGCGGTTAGCAGAGCCGCTAACGTAGCTCCGCGTGTGCGATCAGCAACTCTCACATGATTTCGCATTATCATCATCATAATCAGCATTATTATTAAGAGAATCACTATTAATATAATACAGCAGTGGTCAGAGATGCTGTCTGTGTTTGGTGAAGCACTGCTAATGTGTTCCTGACTATTGCGCTGTGTTCAGATGAATGAGCTGAAATTATTTCTTCCATAAGGGCGATGATGATGATGATGATGATGATGATACACAGATTCAGTGGATTACTAATTAAATTGTGAACAGTTACTGATGACAAATTACATGACAACATTTGTAGACATTCATAAGCGCTTTTATGGACACATCCATGGTAATGTAATCTGATTACTTTTGGATTACTTTTGTGCTAACGTGTAACGTTATTTGATGTGGCATATGTTGAAGCAGGGTGATCTTGTGCTATTTTGACAGATGGAAAAATACAATATCATCATTCTCAATGAGAAACAAAAACTTCAACAGCTTCTTTTTAAAGTGCAATGATGCTTGTCAATGGGGCTGGCGATATAGCAGAAATACAACCTATTATGTAATTATTTTCCATATTGAATGATAACGATATAGATTTCAGTTAGGTCTCAATACCGATACCAAAATTCTGAGTATCGACCGATACAGATTAGGGATGCAACGATTAGCGTTTTTACTATTAACTGTGATTTAACTAGTCACGGTTAATTAATCGTAAAGGCTTCTCAATAACGTGTTGTTGCATGGAACAAAATTGCTGCAATTAAACAAAGCTGAGAAAAAAAACCGAGACTTATAACCATGCACACTGGACTGACGATGACTGAGGCTGTTACAGCAAGCTTGTTCAAGTTCGTTTTTCCAATGAAGGGGCGCGCATGCCACGCAACACATTCACACTTTTCAGGGGCACCTAGATGACCGCGGAAACTGCATACGGCTGAAGTTTGAGAAAGAAGCAGTGGAACGTACACAGGGTTTCCAAACCCACTTATAAATAATGCCGCCAATGAGAGCGATCATGTGGGGAGTGTTGATCCACCAGCTAAGAACAATGACTGATGCCACAAAAATTAGATGGTCCATTAAACAACTTTTTTTTGACCGGTAAATTTTTGTTGGTCGAAAATTCGGTACATCTGTAATATCAACACTATTCTAGACTCCCAATGTTGCACATTTCTGCTGTGTGATTGGCTCTTAAATCAATATAGAGCAAAAAGTCCAGAGCTTTTCAGTTAGATAAGTACACTATATATATGTGTGTGTGTGTGTGTGTATATATATATATATATATATATATATATATATATATATATATATACACGCATATATATAATAATATATATATATATATATATATATATATATATATATATATATATATATATATATATATATATATATATATATATATATATATATATATATATATATATATATATATATATATATATATACACATATATATATATATAT